CTCTATTATATTAGTCCTGAATAATTCAGGTAGGTTATGGGGAATTCCTATCCACAGCCTTAATGTTAGATCTGGCATACCAGAGATTTAGTTCCCCTACTTTGTCCCTTCCATTTCGCCTTCACTGCCTCTGGGTTGACATTACTATGAGTCCTGTGCTGCTTTGTAAAAACTGCTTTACTGGTGATAAAAGTGGGCTATAATGAGCGGTCCTGGAAGTTAAATCTTCTCCCACTCTTAGAATTTTAGGAAAATTCTCTTGCCTTCAACTATTTTCCAAATGATGGGAATACCTATGGAAGCATTTAAAAAAAAAAAAAAAAGTCTAGTTACACAAATCACTATCCCAGAACACCCAAACCATTCAAGAAATGATTGAAAACTTGTATGAAAACAGGTGGAATACTCATATATTCTAATTCCAAAGCCTGATTATAAGGTTTTCTCTGCTAACCTTAGTTTATAACAAAAACAAAAAGGGTAAAAAAAGCAGCCAGAAAACCACTAATTGGAAAATATCAGGTTAACATCTTAACACAAGAGTAAAACCTTAAGCATTTTGAACTGTGCCACACTAAAAAACTATATTCAGCATATTGAAAATGTATGCCCTACCTCAAAACCTTGCATCAGAATTCTTTAAAAAATTCACTCAGGCAGAATGCTTCATTTAGAGTTGACAAGTCAGGTTTTAAGTTTCCACACTTCTGGCTAGAATACAGAATTGTTTCAATGGGAGAAAAGTAGGATAGAAAAAAATTTAAATTTGAGGTAAAGTACAAAAACACTATTTAAAATGCTAGAGTGGGTTTGGGTTCTAAAAAGAATCCTGAACTGAGAGTAACACCTTGAGTACCAGGAAACTTAAATGACCTAAGCTCTGCTTTTTGATTTTGGCACTATTGTTTAGGGTACAATGTGTCTGCTTATAGCTGTTGCCTTAGCAACAGGCTATAGGAAGAGCTTCTATCCAGGGGCGTCTGGGTAGCTCAGTCAGTTAGGCATCCGACTCTTGGTTTCAGCTCAGGTCATGATCTCACGGGTTTGTGGGATCAAGCCCCATGCTCAGCAGGGAGTCTGCTTGAAGATTCTCTCCCACTCTTTCTCTCTGATAAATCTTTAAAAAAAAAAAAAAAAAAGAGCTTCTACCCAGTGTTACAATTATTCCTGACCCAATGACAAGGTCCATAGTCCAGTGTTAAGGTATAATCTGGAGTATGTTAGCACTTGCTGTTACTTCAGTACAGTTACAATTAATGTAATTTCAAACATAGTGTTTACATTCTTTACAAACAAGTAAACGGCAGGTTGAAAAATGAAAGTCAATCAGGTTGAGGCATAAGCTCCAGGCAACAAGACAAATTAAATTGGTCTATCTACAAAACTATGGGAAATTCTTTGTAATACTCTTTAAAAAAAAAAAAAAAGAAGCGAGTAGCTTCTTTTGACAGTCCAAGAGGTACAAAGTATTTGGAAAATACTCCTGTAATTTCACCCCCAAGAAAAACACACCAATCACTGAAACACAAATTTAAGAAGCTATTCACTAGTTAGTATACTTAACAGTGGGGCTTTAAGACTGAGAATGTCAGTGAAAAATAATCTTGCCCTTGCTTTTTTTGTCTTTAGATTGCATATAGCATAGTTGGAAAACATCTGTGTTAGGTATATACAAACTCCCAATTCTGTACACCTATACCTACAATTTTCAAATTATCAAAGGAAGAAAGAGGCAAGCCAAATGGACTGGTAGAAATCCTCTTACAAAGATTATAGCCTGCATTACAGCCTATACCTTATTTGAGTACTTGAAGTAGTAATACAGAAGGTACAGAGGATTCTGAATCTAAAGCAATCCACCGATAATAAACCCTTCTTACAAAATTTATATTTCCTTATAGAATGTACATCCCTCATCAAGAAATAAGGGATTTTCTGGATGATTAGGCTCTTGCTTGGATTTCTAAAGTAAATGATCATACTTAAAAGTATATTTAGGTTGAGCCATAGGAAACTAACTGCCACTTTCCTGGGTCAAAAATGGTGAACTACTGGCAATTTCGTATGGCTCAACATAATTGACCTATTTTCAACGAACAGTTGAGTGCAACTTCAAATTACTACCACTTGCCAAAGTTTAACTATTACAGACTGATTGTTGCTTTATTGCAGATCCTGAAATAAAACCCAAATGTCATCAAAGGTTTTAACTACTATCCATTCAAGAACACTTCCTAATAACTAAAAATTTTAAAAAGGAGTCACCAAATTCACTATACCAGATATCCTTCTAAGAGGTATCAGGGATCCAAACCATAACAGCAAAGATAGGAAACAGTGAGGCTTCTCATCAAACATCCTTTTGCCTTTTGGAATTTTGTCAAACACACAGATCCAATTCAAATTCAAGTTCCTTGAGGCCTTCTAGAAAATCCAAATGTAAAGTTTCCTTTACCTTCATTCCAATAACCACCATCCGATGTAGGACTTACTGCATTATAGCTAGTTTTCCATTCATCTGTTCTTATATTGTAGACATTGCCTATGAGAAAACTAGGTTGGTTTCAACCTCAAAAAAGTGCAAATCTGTGTGAAGACAAAGGGTACAATTTCCCAAGCTAACTGCAACATTCAGTTTATACGCCAACTCTGCAGAGACTTTTCTCAAGTTACATGCTCGACTCAGAAAACAACAGCTACAAAAACACCTGTGACTCAGCATAAGGTGATGGATCCCAGCTACAAAAGAATGGCTGACATAGAGACCTGGAATACAATAAAATACTAGCTATTTTGCCTCTTCCTCACTAGCTTAGTGTTATCTATTCTTAGGTTACTTTACTTGCCTACATACACCTGTACTTTGCAAAATCATTTAAGTGATCTCCCTCAGCCTGGTTCTAAGGAATGCCTGTTAGGTTTTCATGAACTCACCACCAGTTTGATGTGCTGCTTCTCAACTCCACATCAAAATACACAATTTATAATTTTACCAACAGTGACTGAGCTATCAACAAAGACTCATTTACACCATTTTGCAAAAGTTTTAGACCCACTGAAGGCTTTAAAAAGGCTGGGCTCAGTCAGTAGAGCATGTGACTCACTCTCAGGATTGCGAGCCACACACTGGGTATAGACATTACTTAAAAATAAAATCTGTGAAAAGTAAGTTGATACCAAACAAGAATACTAGGCTTCCCAAAGTTTCAGGAAAAGGTGTTTGGCCCCATGTAATCTTAACAAGCTTCCGTGATTTCACCTAAGTATACTGAAACAATGTGAGGGCTGCACAAGACCTTTGTTTATTTATTTTTGCTTGTCTTTTAGCATGTCCTAACTTACAAGTTTTCCCATAGCAACACCTTATCTAACTGGTGTAGAAGTAGCCAAAAAAGATGCACCCCTCTCAAGATAATTTGGAAGGCTACCTGAATCAAATGGTTACTGCCTTCGGGAGTAGGCCTTTCCACTTCTAAATCAGAGTATTTACCCCAAGAAAAGCCTATTATGGGGGTATCTGGGTGCTCAGTCAGTCAAGCATCTGACTCAATTTCTGGTCAAGGCATGACCTCAAGGTTATGAGATCAAACCATGAGGCTCTATGCTGGCCGTGTGAAGCCTGCTTAAAGATTCTCTCTTCCATTCTCTCTGCTCCTCCCTCCCCCTTCTCTCGCTCTCTCTTCTTAAGAAGGAAAAAAAAAAAAGCAAGCTTATTATGGTTCTACAGTACACAAGGCATTAGGTTTAGTCGTTTGTAAATAATGAAATCTTGATACTTATTTCGTAGAATATGGTTTTTCTACTAAAGAACTGCTTGTACTATGCCCATTTTCTAAGATGGTTTTGTTACTTTCTCAATGAAACAATCTTAATGGAAGAAGGATCTTAATCTATTCTATATGAAAGAAAATGAAAAATCACTTTTTATTTATACCATATTTACCAATTTGGGAATTAATGAAAATTCTCATACCTTGTAATTAATCTGTAACCCTGATACTGAAGAGAACAAAGAAAAAAAAGCCTAACAGTTTTACTTCTAACCTTTCATGGCTAAAAAAGATGTTTGTGGGTTAAGTTTTTAAAAATCAGGATATGAAACTGATACTGTTACTCAAAATGCAAGGATTGCCCTATTCATACATCTTATAAATTCTGTTACTAGGGTTTTAGGAAAAAGCATTTAATACCATCACATCTTAACTGTAGTGATAATAAATTTGAGGTCTGTGGTTATATGGACACTGACCTGGCAAATATTACATTTTAGCAGTACCTTCAGTTGTCTTTCAGTCATTATAAATTAACTAAAATCACTTAACAGTTTTATGCACATAACAAATTAAGACAGTTTATGCACATAAAAAACACATCAAACACCAAATGACAGAAATGGCTCTTTCTTGCTCAGTGCTCTATGTGTTTCTATGGGGGGAGGACCCTCGAGTAAATCCACATTTGATATGACCTCACATATACCTGCATAATTACTTCATCGCTGTTACTCTGAACACACTTTATGCAAAGTCTTTATCTTCCTAAAGTTAAGCCACGTGGCTAAAATACATACAAAAAATACAATCATTAATATGACAACCTTCAAAATTATTTCCTTGAGAATCAAAAACTAAGTTAATGGTCTATTTCTTATTTAAAAATTGCTCACCATGCTTCTTTATAAAAAATAATTTTTAATAAATTATCAAAGGCCAAAGCAAAATTCTGGATTTTACCCCACTGCCTTCCAAAAGTTGCCTTTGATAATAAAGATTTTACTAGTATCAAAGGTATGATCAATTCCCTAAGCTAATCTATTCTAACAGACTAAATTTAAGTGCTTAGATTTCAGAGGATATATTACAAAATGATCAACCAATTAATATTTTAATACTATTTATAAGTATAAATGCTTTTTAAAAGCAATCAGGTTAACTATTCTAGGCCTATTACTAGCTCCAACTACTTTGCTACAATTGGTATAAAAAGTAGAAAGTTAATCAGCAAATGGAAGATCAAAGTTTATTTACTACCTGCATACAAAAACATATTGCACATCAAACAACCAAAATCAAAAAAAAGAAAAAGAAAAAGAAAAAAGGAAAGATACTCTACTGAAGACTAACATGTACTTTTATACAGAATAAACCTCCTGGAAATTGATCTTTTCAGTAGTTCAGATTATGTCTGAAATGGACATGACTAATTCAGCTTAGTGTTTTAACTAAAGCTATGTTTGATTTTTAAATACTGTACACTTCAATAAATAAACCAAACAAAGCCTCAATGTAGAACAGTCACTGCCAATATCACCCAGTGTCCCTGCAGATGAGTTTAACAAATGTATTCCAGTGGTCTGCAGATTTTCCTCTACATACAGCATTTAAAAAACACATTAAAACAGACCAGTTTCCAGACTAAACTAATGGAGAAATTACAATTCAGTGCAAAATATTTTAGACTGCATTTCATTCTAGTTTTCCTCAGGTGAAGAAGTGGTTGCATATTATTAAAAATGTAACAAAAGCAGCTAATGCTTTCATAAAGAATATTACGTTAGGGATCCCACCCCACCCACTTCCCCCCATCTCTGCCATATTTTGAAAACAAAATAACATTTCCTATAGCCAGCAACTTTTTTTAATGTTACATATACTATTCTCAAGGCACATCTGATGATATATTTTATAACACAGTAGGTGTCAAAGTATGTTTAACATATGATTTCTTCAGGATCCCTCCCCTTTCTGAATTCCAAATGGAGGAACTGAAAGTGCGATGTAAAGACTGGCGATCCATATTCTATCTTTGGCAAGCTTGTACAAGCACTATTGTAAAATGTAATGTAAAAGAACTGTAAACTAGGAACTTCTTCAGTTTATGAAACACCATTCAGGACTGCTGCTTCTTGAGTGTTTTCTTCTTTTAAGGTATTAATCTTTTCTTCTCCTGGAGTACGCTGTAGCTTAGAAATTTCATCGCCAGAAGCACTAGTTGGGCCATTTATTGCCTTTTCTGAAGGACCATGCTCTTCAATCACATCTTTTGCCTGCCAAAGGGAGACAACTTTTTCAACTTCTTTATAAATGAAATCTACAGCTGAGGAGGAAAACAGCTATATAAACATTAGCTAATAAATCATTTTAGTTTCATAACCACATTGGATCAAAGGATTAAAATGTTCTTAAGTTTTCAAAGCATATACCAATGTACTCCACCTCTACTGTCTTTCAACTCTCTCTCTAGTACCTAGCAGTGCTAAATCACAGAAGAATCTGTTCTTGTTTACTGGAAACTTGAACCTAATTTTAACCACTGGAAAGCTCACCATGTAAAGATATAAAGTTACCCTAAGCAAATAAACACCTATTTTACTCACCTTTTATTTTTTTTTTGAAACTCATTTACATTAAAGCATTTAAAGAATTGAAACTTAAAAAAGGTCTACATCCATCACTGAGAAGAGGTATATAGCCTATTGCTCCCCAAATTAAGCCAACAGACTTTATGCCCAACATCTCTGGGTAGACTGAATTTTACAAATGCTATTTGGAATTCTAAATGAAAAGTATTCCAGGCTCAAGCATGCATATCTTCAGTTACCTGGGGCCAAGAACAAAATCAAGAGTAATCTTTAAAATATTATTTGTCTAGTTGGGGAAACAAGTGATCGATCATACAGTAAGTCAAGAAGTAAAAATAAAGCTGAACCATACCAAAACAAAAAAACCAAAACAGAACCAAAAAAAAAAAAAACCCAAAAAACAAAAACAACAAAACCTACAGGTTAAATTCTCCTTACCATTTCTTTCTTGTTTTTAGCCAAAGTTTCCCTTGGGAGGTTTCTTTGTCTGCTCTGAGACTCAGCTCTAGAAATATAATCTGCAACTGTGACTGTTGAAGATGAGAAAAAAATTACAGGTGTTGAAAAAATATTTCTAAAGTTTATTTATGGATAAAGAGTAATTTTACTTTTAAAATAAACTGATGGTGGGTAACCCAATTCCAAAATTTTAAGCTGGGTACCACCTCCAACCAAAAACAAAAGTTGAAAAATGTGCCTGTGATTTAGTGCTGACAATAGAAAATTCCAAGCTGGAGATCCAAGGAAGCCTAGATTTAAGTCTGCTTTCACAGGAATCCAGCCATTGCTTCTGACTCTACAGTTGTGGGATAAAGCTTGATATAGAAATCCACAACCGGAATAAGAAATACAGCATTCTAAGCCCAATGTTTCCAATTCTCAGTGGGGGAAAAAAAGGAGGGAATATTTGGTGCAAATCATGGTGTACTACATATACTTCAATTTGAAAATTTCATCAGATATCAAAGATTTACCAAATTGTTAGGGTTTTTTTGTTTTTTTAAAGCTCAACTACCCAACTGTGGTATTTTATGGTTCCTTTTTCACGTTTCACACTAGAAACCACTCTGAGTGATTTAAAATAAAAAACTACAAGCCAACTAAAGATGGCGGAATAGCACCCTAAAAATGTGGACAATGATCCTGGTGGGAAAAGGGCCACCATTAATTCAGTAACCTCTTCCCCGCTTTGACAATCTTTCAAGGGACTGACTGAAGTGTATGTGTGTTTGCAAGAAAGTGGATGGCAATAGTGACCTAAGAATAAGACTAAAGCAAGCTAACACCCTTCTGCCAACCCAAGTGCAACATCTCTGTTCTACAGGTACTCTGGCCTCGCTTTACACTTCAATCCTTTCTCTTTAGAACTTACAGCTTAGAATTTTCTGATTTGGAAAAATATCAAAATAACTGCTCTTTCAAAGAATTATTTTCTATCAGAAACTGGGCAGGAAAATCTCTGACTATATGAAATATAGTGTATTTTAATTTACGGGATGAGAGCAAGTTAATGTAAAGAATGAAAACTCAAGTAAATTTTAAATTATTTATTAAAAGTCACTAGGGGAGAAATGGTCCATCAGGTTCAAATTATACGAAAATAAATCATTTTGATAAAGAAGCTGGACAGTATTTACAATTCATTTTTTGTGACCATGAATTAACATAATACTTTTGTAAGATCCAAGAATTTTCTGAAACTACTAAATGAATCTTAAATCTCAAAGAAACCACTTAATTCAGAATACAAATCATTTAAAAGAAACAGCACTAAATAAAGATGTTTCCTGTCTAAAACCGCCTCTTTTCTTCCAAACTGTAAGAAACTTGGTGTGCTCATTTCAGAGCTTTCAAAAAATCATTTAAATCCACTGTTAACAAAACTGAGAAGAGGAATACTGTCAAATCCATTTCATTATTATGTCTACATATATGGGTAGCAAGACATTCTAGAAATGATTCCAGTTTGGGGAGCACCTAAATGAATTCATTCTGTTTCCATAGTTCAGCCCTCAGTGACACCTGGAAGAACTCAGCAACTTGGAAACCATGCTGCACAAACATATTGCTAAATTTGAGTATGTGACAATTCTTAGAACCCTTCATCCACTATGTACACTCATAGAATAATACTTTGATACGGGTATCAACTAAATTAAGAGGCACTTAGCAGGAAAGGTAAAAAAACTTATCAGTGCCCCTCCCCCCCTACAGGGAGGTACAACCAAAAACAAACTTAGGTGACTCAAAGCCTATTTACAGCCAGTCCTTATAATACTAGCCATTTAAAAGGACATTAAAGATTAATAAACATGATATCTAGAAGAAAAATAAGCGATTTGTGCAGCATAATTTGGACTATAGAACTTCCTCCTAAGGGGCCCAAGTAAATCAACTGGACACAAGTGTACAAGCACTTTCTAAGTAGAATAAGGAATATTCACTGCTTAATTTACACTAAAAACAAAAAATTTTGAGCAAATGAGAACAAATGAAATGATTGTGTATGTAAGGGAATATTGATATTTTTAGATGAAGCCACTTTTCTAGAAGTACTGACAGGGGCAAGGAGAAAATGAGGTGCCTGTTCCGTCGATGCTATCTTAGGGGGCTTTTAAAAGTTTTTAGGGGAAGGCAGGATAGGGAAGACAAGGATTTCTAAACAGAAAAAGCAGCAATTCCAAAGAACTGAGTAAAACTGGAATAAATGCAAGTATGGAACAATCATCAACTTATTGGACACCCCAAATTACTCAAGTTTCACTTCTCTGCCTCTTTAACACCACTGTGTTTTTTATGTCCACTGACTTGGTAATAAACCACCATCCATCTAGTTAACAAATTGTGTTATTTACCCTATGTTAAGCCCACAAGGATAGTCTGAATTTTCTTATTTATAAAGTATGGCAGAAATTGTATTCACTGCCATGCCAACTTTAAACAACATGACCTCTTGATCTAAAGAATATTTCTGACACTACAGTGAGAGAGGGAAGAGAAGGGAAAACAGTAAGAAACACTTTCTGGAAACTTTCTATTTTTGACAGTATTTAATTCCTTTTAAACTTACAACTATCTTTAAAACATGAACTTTTCTTCAAGAATGGGAACTAACACCTTTAACCAGTTTTCCCAAATGTCTCTACACAACCACTAAACTTAATTAAAGATACTTGAATTTACATTCTTTATTTGGGGAAAACACATCCAAGAATTTGCTTTGGAAAGAATGCAGAAATTGATTAGTTTAAAAGGGGTTTATTTTTGGTGCACACAATTTCTTCACTGTGAATATACACGTGATTTTCTGTATACAGGAAATGGAATTATGTTCAAAATAATATAGACACAGCAAACAAGTTTCTTTGAAGTCACTAAAAATTATGACTACTTAAATTAACATTCTAAAACTAATAAATAAGTACTATTAATTTGAATAGTTAGTAGGTGTAAGGGAAAAGGCAACACACCACAATAAACAAACAAAACATAACATGCATTCCTCTTATTAGAAAAAAGACACCTTCAAGTATTTTTCTCAATTATACTTCTTTTTTAACTGGGTATTAAAATTCCCACAAAAATGAGGTGCTGAATTCAGATATAATAAGCAGCACCATGCAAAAGTTGCCCAGTTTTGCCAATCAACCTCATTCACAATCTACAACGTAGTCCCTGGGATGGCAGGCCTAAACTCAAGTATGAAGAATCTGCCAAGTGGACAAAATAATGGTCTTCTCAACAGTATTTCCATGTAAAAAAAAAATTAAGACACAACATTAGTTCAATTAGACAGGTTACTGAACATTTACGGAGTGAAGAAAGAATGCATTTTCTTAAGAGTAGTAGTCTTATTAGTTGAGTAAACAATTTATGCAATGCACATCTTGAATGTATATGCACACATGTGTACATGTAGTAAGTATAATATATTTAGAAAGCAGACACATGACATTTTTTTCATGCTTGTGACCTGGTGGTGTCAACAGGTCCACTCAAGTTACCTGGCTGTCTATCTTCTGCCTGACCCCTGAAACGACGCCTGCGGCTACGATTGCGTCGCTGGGGTTTTTTTTCACTATCATCTGTAATTGCAAAGTTTACCATGAACTATTCTGACAAACAAAAGCAAAACAAAAAAAAACTTCTTTCCTTCAAAGATTTAAGAATGGGGAAAGAGAACTTTTTAATTAAACAGGGAGGATAAAACAATACACATTACTGACAGGAAAATAATTTTGTAGTTTTAAACATTTCAAATAGATTAAAAATGGAATTATCACCTGGAAATTAAGAGGGTTTTAAACTCTTAACTGAACAAACTCAACAACTTAATTACCATCATTCAGGAATAAAGTCTTCCTTTCCAATACAATTTAGTTTTTGGGTTTTTTGTTTTTAAGCAAAGTTAACATTTTAGCCCTTTGGAAGTTAATACCTACTCAATATACATACCTTCACTACTGTCATTTATAATAAATTTTAAAGAGGCAAGCTGAAAGCCCAATTTTAGTTTAGGAACAAAAAGAGTATTAAGTGGCTTGCAGTTTGAATATCTGTATTGATTTAACGGCGTCAAAGGGCACTTTAATAAACCCTTCTGATTTCAAATAATTTAGCTGTACAAATCTGAGAACTAGACACTTCAGACAGACACAAAGCTATCTTGTTTGAAGTAAACACTAAGGAAAATTCAATATGGGAATTGCATTACGTTTGGGGTTGGTTTTTTTTTTTTTTAAAAAGCGTCATACAATATTATACAATAATGTATCTTTTCCCTAAGTGCTTACATACCTAGCCCATTTTCATTAACTGAAGCTGTATCAGATTCAGTCATCCCATCCATCAGAACAGCATCTTCATCAGTCCTTCGTCTACGAGACCGCCTACGACGGTTAGTACTGTGATGAGATTCGCTGGCATCAGTGTCTGCAGTCTGATCAGATTCTGTATTATCAAGTAAGCTGTATGGATTGCTGTCTGGATCTTTGAGCACTATATGCATGTCAGAGGCAAGAAATATTCGTTTAAGAGAGCTGCAGTCATTAGTAATGTTTTGATCTATAGAACTTTATCTATTAATGATAAAGAAACTTCAATTCTCCCCCTATATTCTGTATTCAAATAAATGTTTTCTGTATCACTATTTTCCCTGGAAAATAACAAATATGAAGAACTTCAAATGGCAATGAAAAATTAAAGCAGAAGATGAGCAAATACCCTCACAGCTTCCTACCACTTCTTGGACTTGTTTTGAAAATGTATTAGAAAATAGTATATTATGACATGCTATTTTTGACATTCACATTCTCAGCTAATCCTGCCCAGAGGCTAGAGAAATGAAAATGAAGAGAAATAGTTTTGCCACCTTTATGGAGTTCAAGGTGTCAGCTGCTGCTATGGGCTAATGTTAATGGACTATTCCCAAATAATTCTCAACACCTGCACTCCATGGCATAATAGAAATATTACTGAACTGAAGCAATCAAAACAAGTCTACACAAAAAAGCAAACTAAAAAAAAAAAAAGGTTCAAATTCTAACTGGTTATAGGAAAAGAGAGAAATGAATGTTGACTACTACTCCCATCTCCAGAAACAAAGAGTGAAGGCGGGGTAAGGTGGGGTGAGGGTGGGAAAGGGAAAGTTTTAAAGTATAATTCATAAGAAAAAAAAATACCCATCTTACCTATGTGCATTTATTGCCTCCACCAATCAAATTATAGAAGAAATTCACCTAATCACGATTTTTCCTAAGTTTCCTTTGGTAACAGCTAGCAAGCTAGCATCTTTGCAAAAGACACTAAGTTTATCCATTAATCATAAGCACTAGGTAAAGTACATTTATTGTGCAATTCATACTACAATTCTATAAACCTTGGTAATAGCAATGTAATGTAGTAGAATATAAAAAGTATTTCCCTAAACACTAAAACACCTATAAACTAAACTTAGGGCTCAAAGAATATCACTGGAACTAGAGTACTTTTAAAAGCCCCTAAAATTTTGTGATTTGTTCCAGTTTTTTGTAGTTTGTAAGCAAGTCTGATACACATTTCATTATATATATGTTTTAAACATTTAAAATACTTATAAACTTTCATAGGGCACATGTTGTAACATTAAGAGTGGTTTTCTTAAAGTGGTATACAATAAAAATATGTAAAGGTTATATGTCATATAATCTAGTCCATATAATACTGACAATTCTTCCCCCCAGCCCATTATGCTAAGCAAAAACATTCTCGCAACTCCTACAAAAAGACGTGAGTAAAAAGTTGCTTATGCACCTCATTTCTCAGTCTAAACAGCCTTCTTTACAGCTCAGCTCAATTCCTCAAACAGTAAAAAAAAATTTAATTTCACGATTTTTCTGTTCCTAAAATAGTACATAGTGCAGCAAAAATTCTTCTGTTAATTTTCAATATTAAGTATGTAAAGTTACTTAGATCTCTCTGTGCATTAGAATTTTCTGGGTCTGTCTGGCAAACAAATATAAAACCCAAATTTCCTAGGGGAAAAAAACATTCTAATTACATAAGCCTCCAAAAACTGGAGAAAACTGTAACCATCAAAACAAGAGAATCAGCCAACCAAAATTTCTCTGACCTGAATATTCTAGCTAAACCTTCACTGAGAAACACCCTAAATGGTTTCTCTTTATCTTGCCATATGCTCCACTACTTGCCTCAGTGAGAAGACACTTCCCAAAATGGGTGGCCTTGGGAAATGAATTAACTTGTATAAAGTTATACTGTTTACAAAGTAAGGATGCTGACATAGTACATAAAAGACTACCAGAACTGATGGAGGATTTGCCACCACGTGGTCCACCACGACCTCGACCCCCTGAAACACTTCTCCCTCTTCCTCCTGGGCGTCTCCTGCTGTCACGCTGATGTCGGCTCTCCCGATCATCTTCTCCTGCCAATGACCAATCACTCAGCTCGTCTTTACGCTCAGATTCTGTTTCAGAGGGGTTAGACAGCTCAGAGTTTGTACCTTGGGAAAGAGGACATAAACCAATTAGATTTTTTTTTTTTTAAAGGGAAAAAAAAGAAATTTTTCAAAATTACTTCCTACAGATCACTATTTTAATAACCCTAATTGGCTGATTCAAAGAAAGCTAAATAAAAAATAAAATGAGTTTGAAATTTACTAAGAAATAATCACATGTTAATATTAGACTAGTAATACAGGATCTACTAATGGGAAATTAAAAATTGGTTTGGACGTGCAGAAATAGAGCCGAGATTATAGAAAACACACAAAACATTATATATAATATGCAAATGCAGTTAGTATGGGGAAATAATAAAAAAAATTTGCCCATTTTTGTTTTAGAAGCAAATTCGTGTAATAAAAATAACTGCTATCCAATATTGAAAACCAAATCATATTTAGAAAAAGGAGTAGTTTAATTGTATAGTGTACTCTATTGATTTTTGGAAGCACATTTTTTCCACACTTTTAACATCTCAAATCACAATGCTTCCTATAATTGATGGTCTCTTACAAACTGGGAGTGTATTTTTAGTGGCTGTACATAAAATGTTTTATGAGCAATAGTGGCTTAAATACACTACGTGATATTACAGAACAAATTTTAAGAATGCTAAGAAGACAACTTTAAAAAGAAAAATTCATTATAACTCTAAAGGTTGACAGACCATTTCTAAGGTTTCAATGACCTATTTTAATACTGACCTTTTAAAAATTTAAACACTGCAAATATTCTATAAAAGCTTGCAATATCATTACTATTGTATCACAAAGTGCCAGATTTAGACGATTCAATCACTACAATACTCTCACTTTTATTTTTTAATTCTTGGAATGCCACTTCCACCTCTCCTTTTCATACATCCAAATCTATCTCCTTCAGAGCCCAGTTCAATTTCTAGTTTCAGACCAATTTAACTGAAAACAGACCTCTCCTCTCCTTTTATTACCTTAAAAGCAAAGTGTGTCTATCATGCAACGTTGTCATATGTTGTTTTCCATTTTTTCCCCTTTGGATTTACATCCCACTTGGTCTATATTTAAATGGTAGAGCTCTTTCTTCTACCTCTACATGCCCCAGACACCTAACAATTTGCCTCTCTTGATAAATGAATCTGTTGCATGATTTTGAAGTTCGTTTGCTTAGCTCCCAAATAAAAGTGATTCCATGATAAACTACAAGTTCCCTACATTTAAATTCCAGTCATTTGATGATGAAAGTAAAACATCGTAACTTCTCAGATGTACAAAAGTACAAGTATTAAAGTACCCAGAATAAAACTGAAATGGAGTCTAACAACGTCCTTTCTCCTCCAATTCCTTTTTTCCACATGACCTTAAATATGGATGTATCCACTCAATTATATAAAACTGGATTAATACATTGGAACTATTATTTTAGAAAAAAGAGCAAGTTTCTAGTATTCACACTTAAGTTTTATTAGGATTGAGAGTCTCACAAAAGAGAATGAATCTCCCATTTATTTCTCCAAATGACAAAAAATTTACTAGCTCATGTCATGGTTTGTTAGAATAATGGCAATTTATCATTTCATGAGTCACGAAAACATCTTTTGGAATATGTAAGAATTTCTGAATTTACTGACAAGCCTATACACTGCCTGAAAACATTAACAAAATTTGAAGATAAATGAATATCTCATTTTAAAATTTTTCACAAGAGTCCCTACTGAATTTCCTCCAGAAATACACTGTAGTATTTAACTCAGCATCACAAGCAAGGAAATTCTTCCTAAACTTTAAGCTTAATCTAGTATTCTAAATACTTAAAGGGGGTGGTCTGAAACATAAATAAGGTTTCAGTAGGTAAGACAGGTACTAAAGTCAAAAACAAAAAGGGCTGAATTGGCTAGTGCTCTTGCTTTAGTCATATTAAATAAAGCTTAAATGTTTCTGGGATGGCAAAAGGGACTTTGCAGATGTGATAAGATTAAGGATATTTAAGTGGAAAGATTATCATAGATTATCCAGGTGAGGCCAAACTAATCATATGAATCTCAGCTGCAGAGAACCAAAGAGCAGAACTATGAAGTCAATAGCTTTACAAGACAGAGGGAGTCAAATGCAAAAGGAACTTCTCTAGAAGTTCATGGATCCAAAAAAATTTAAGTAGCTCTAAAAATGATTCATGAAACTAATCCAATTTTTAATGACTCCAACAAATAAAACCTGTTTTTAACAGAATTGCAAATCAGATTTTCCCCTAAAAAATTCTAAAATCACTCCTGAAGATACTTCACATCCTTTTCAATGTTCATGTACACTAAACCTAATAGCTAAAGTAGCATATTTTATCAACTCCAACATGCCATCTATTCATTTTAAAGACATATTTTGTGTGCCATTAAAAAAGTTGCCCATTAGCTTTAAAATATCATTCATTCTAAGGAACATACCAACTTCAGAGACATTATGACAAATGTTTCTTATACAACTTATAAATTATCACCTAAATATCCTGATATTAAGTAGGTAAGAGAACATCTATAACCAAATTTAAATGGTTTTTCTCTCAAGGCCACTTAAATTCAATAGCTATTTCAAGAAATGCAATACTACCACCAGTCCGCAACGTTTCAGAGGTAAGAGTGCCATCTACTGAACAACTTGCATAACTTTCTTCAATCCAGATGATACTCCTCTACCACTCAAAAAAACTTACTAACTCATAAAAATTTTACCTACTGTCAACAAAGGCATTTTGCAGAAGACTGGCCTCAACAATAAGCTGACTTCCCACAAAGGTTTATAAAAGTCTTCAATGAATTTCATCATCCTATCAACCAAAAAACCAAATCTGATTATCTGTACTAGTAATTTGTGCCTCTAGAATCATTCAATATAATTTTTAATTACTGGTTAGTTGTTTTTTGTATTAAATGTATTTTCAGGAAATACAGTACTACTTCACAATTTTCTGCCCTTCATATGCTAAACACTTTACTAGAATTTTGTTTTTCAGTTTCAACAGTTAACTTTAAATAATAAAAACTATCAAGAAATGAGAACGTGGAAATATATGAAAGGGAAGGGATAATTAACCTTTCAGCTCTACAACAAATGAAAGGACAAATTTAATATAATTCTGGCATCATTAGATGATCCTTCAAACATGAAATCTGGGTGTGGAATCTGCACTCTGTAAGCTTTTATGTTTATCCATTTTCCCTAAATGCCTTCTATTTTGGAAAAGGCTTATGAATTATTTTTCTAAAGTAGTTAGGATGAGCAGAGAGGTATGGAGAAAGGAGAAGGAAATAGAAAGGGAAGACAACAAGGGAAGACAAAAATCAGGTCACTGCTAAGATCCAAGTCCAAATGCAGAAAAATGGAACAACTCCAAAGCTGAAGAAGAATAAGTGAAAATTTAGGATTAGAAAATTGTTGACCACCACCATCCACTGGTCCCCTCCTATATGGGTTAAGGCCCCATCCTCACACTGAAATACATTTTAGAAAAATGTTCATTTATAAAATGTTAATTTGGTTCCGGCTTTTTAAAAAGTCCTCATTTTAGTGAAATGTTATTTCATAAAATAATTCCAGATATGAGATACTTATATTCAAAACTACCAAGAGAGCCAATAAAGTATATTTTAGAAAGGTAGTACAGATGTACTATACACAACCTTAGCACACTGATTAGCATTATTTTTCATTTTTACTTTTCCTAGAGTAGGCTAAAGAGATTCCTAGCAGTATTATCACCATTACTAGATTTTGATATGTATACGTTTTTGTATACATGTATATACAAATGCCACCTACATTTATTCTAAATATTTAAAATAAACATGATCATGAACTGCCAAGTTAACAAAAACATGTCTGATCTCATTACAAAGCTGCATGATCAAAAACTTTTTACTGTCATTAATATGAAGTATGCCTTCACTACCATAGACATAGCTCAAAACTATCTCCTGCCCCCAAAGCCAAGACACAGCAACGAATAATGAGAAAAAAAGTTTTGAAGTGCCTAAACTAAAACAACTAACAAAAAATTGTTTTTTTACCATAACCGGAGGTGTAATTAGGGCCCCGACGACCTCTGCCTCTTCCACTATAAGACCTAGAACCTTGTACAGAAGAGACGGTACTTTCATCAGTGGCATATCCTTTTTCTTTTTCAGGCCCTCTGGTGGAAGAAGGTCTGAAACCCATACCAATCTGTCGTAGCTGTTCATCAATCTGTAGGCGTTCCATTCTTAGCTGTTCTACTTCCTATAAGCAAAACAAAAAAGGGTAAATATTCTATGTTGTACCATTTTTACCTTCTTAAAGCCTACGGTTAAAGCTATACTCCCTACCAATGAAAGTAGCTGTGATCTTGGCCAATTATTTGGTAAAATACAACTGTGTACCTAGTAAATACAATTCACAAGGTCATTTGCTGACTCAATTCACTGAACATTTACTGAATACTTCAGCGAGCACTAAGTATGCTAAGTGCTACAAACATACAATATAGAAAAAGACAAGGACTCTCCACCTTCAAGGGTATGTTTAACAGACAAGCATTAAAATAAACTATCTGTTGGTGCTTACAGGGCCGAATAAATGTTTCTTATGCTAGAGCAATATTCAAAGTTTGCGTTTAACTTCCTGGCATGAATGAATGAACTAACGGTTTGTTAAATAGCGAATAATTACACAATATTACCAGATCCAGCCTTCAAGAAATTAAAACTCTGATTAAGTGAGATACAGGTGCCATGTATGAGAGGGACTATTAAGCTACTTTTCCATCAAAACAGTGACACCTGAGTTGTGGCCTACATGAACTAGGAGACTGGGTCATTCAGAAACCGAGGTCATTACAGAATGTGAAGGTAAGGCGACCAAAGCTTCTGGCTGAGTAGTAGTAGAGTACTGGAAGATAAAGCATGGGCTTTAAAATGCCAGACTGAATTGAGATTTATAAACATGAGTTTTAAAAGAATGACATCATGTGTGCTTTCAAAATATTAACGTAACAGCAATGATATGAGTGATTAAAAGGACTAAAACCTACTAGAGACAGAACTGTTGAGGATATTAGAGGAGAAACTTAATAATAAAAGATAAAGTAGAAAATGACAATTGCAACTTTTAATAATTTATGGGCCATTTCTTTTTTCAAATCTTTGCTCGTTATTTATCAACTCAAATAGACTATCTTAAAAATAATGGTTAATTACCAAATGATGTCTATGGGGTATCACCTCTGATTCAAATACCAGTTACCAAGAAAGCCCATCTTACTCCCTGCCCTATTTGCATTTAAAACATCAAGGTAAAAACAAAATAGTTTCAGTATAGCACATGTATATACATAAGGTGAGGACAGTCAAATTACAGGAACACAAGTGTGACCATTTCTTAACAGTAAGGAAAGAAATATCAAAGTTCAGAGAAAAAGAGAAACAATGTGCATTAAGGCCAATCATTTTATTATGGCAAACAGACCTTTTACTCCTGAATTCTCAAGTAGGAGAACAGGGTAAATCTGAAGCTGAATTAAAAAAAATTTAATGATTTGAAATTTAATATGAATATAAAACTGATGTATTTTGAAGTTTAACATATGAAGCAACAATGATATGAATGTGATCAGTATACAAACCTTTAGATAAGCAATATGATACTCTAAAAGAACTTGCACATTTCCGATGCTTTCTTTCGTGCCAACAAATACAAATGGAACCATACCCTGTAAGAAAACACAACATCCTCAGTATTTCATATTTTAACAAAGTCTAGCCTAAATTTCACATACCAATATATAATTTGGAAAACTTTTCTAAAATACAGCAATTTATATCTACTAAAATTCAAAATTTAAAAATAAACTGCTGGGCGCCTGGGTGGCTCAGTCGTTAAGCGTCTGCCTTCGGCTCAGGTCATGATCCCCGGGTCCTGGGATCGAGTCCCACTTCGGGCTCCCTGCTCAGCCTGCTTCTCCCTTTCCCACTCCCTCCTGCTTGTGTTGCCTCTCTGTGTCTGTCAAATAAATAAAATCTTTAAAAAATAAAAATAAACTGCTAAGAAAAAACTCAGTATAATTTGAAATACTGAGGTTTTCAATAACTTATTGTATTTGCCCTACAATTTAAGTATGCTAAAAATTTAAATTACCTTTAAAATAACCAGTTTATATAAGATTTTCTAATTCCTAATTCAGTCTTTCTCCATATATAAACCACCTTTTAATGAAATTTTCCTCCAAACTGGTATAAACTTATAGACCTGATAGATCACGTTGGTAGCGATGGCTTTAAAAAGGTAAAGCACATTAGGTAGGTTATCCCTAATATGTGCTCACATAACAAAACTGTCAATGTTGTGTATTGGAAGTAGTGCTTCCTGACCATTAACAGTGTAACGTACAGAGTACAAATATTTACACCATGTAAAATAAAGGAATTACTGATATGGGTAAATATTTAGTCACCAATATTAAAGCAAATCAAAGGATTAATTTTGCTGAATTTACAAAAAAAAATACACTTCTACCTTCCTAATGGCTAAGGAAAAAAGAAGTAGAGCCTAAATAAACTTCCCCAGGCAAATTCAGTGTCTCATTTTCTTGATTCTACAGATGAGTTCCTAACACCTATTCAAACAGATTGGCTTAAGAGGGCATGAAAAAAAGACTATAACTTAAGCTTAAGAAGTAAGAAGTCTTGACTCTGTCCTCAGGAATTCATGGGCAGGTAAGAAAGGCAGCAAAGTGAATGAAAGATGGAGGGTTAAAAAAGATCTAAAATATTTTATTTTAAGCATATACCACATTTCTAGGAGTATATTATTCTTTACCTGTATCTTATTTAACATTCATTAAAAAGTAACTTTAAGAAATACTCCAATTAAAAAAAAATATTCCAATTTTACAGTTGAGAAAGCAATTTGCCCCAAAGTCATACAATTAGCAAATGAGCCAGCCAATTTCATACCTACTTACCTAATTCCAAGTAACAATCATTTGTCACTTGCCCCAATATACACTAATGAAAAAGGATAAATAAAATCCCTAAAGGCAATCACAATCTCAGAAAAGATACTAAACATTCCTGCAATAATCTTACTGCACAGAATTAGTGGTATCAATGAAAAACACAGCAATATTAAGTAGAATGTGGATTATGCCATCCCAAATGTGGAAACTTAGGGGAACTCCTAAGAATATTAAAGTAAATGTTAAAAACAAATAAAATTTTACCAAGGAGGTAAAGAAGGAAAAGTCATTCCAGACAGATGATCTGTAAGGAGAGTAAGAGAAATACAACGCCTTGACCCTGAAGTTGAGATGCTATCACCAATAGTTACCTCCAAAGGACAGTTAAGAATGCAACCTTAAAGACATATTTTATGGAATACTTTAATGGCTACTATACAGCCATAATAAAAAAATTTGAAGAGTAAATGATTAATACTCAATATACAAATTTGTTTCTAAGAGTTATTTCCGTGAAATTTCTAGATTTTTTTTTTAAGATTTTATTTGTCAGAGAGAGGGAGGGAGACGGAGAACAAGCAGGAGGGGAGCAGCAGGCAGAGGGAGAAGCAGGCTCCCTGCCGAGCAAGGAGCCCGAAGTGGGAGTCGATCGCAGGACCCTGGGATCATGACCTGAGCCGAAGGCAGACGCCTAACCGACTGAGCCACCCGGCGCCCGGAAATTTCTAGATTTTTAAAAATGCTAAACACTGATTACTTATATTTAACAGATTGCACTGACACTACCAACTAGCACTTGGGAAAAATAAAGCAGGATCCCTGGTTCCTAATACCTTACAACCCCCCCCCACAAAAAAATTTATTGGAGTGAAAAATTTACATACTTTTAAAAAACCTGGAGAATGAAATATAAATGGGTCTCTAAATGATCTACATGTAGGAAAGATCCTGCCAAGCAGGACACAAAATGCAAAAGTCTTAAGTCATAAAGCAAAAGCCTAAAAAAAATTCCAACATAAGAAACTTATATTGGGGGGAAATAATCAAGGAAAAAGAGTATTTGCTACAAATATAAAAAGACAAAAGACTAGCTTCCTTAAAATGCAAAAGTTCTAACAACTTAGTAATAAAGGCAAAAAATATACAAAAGACAAGCTGCTTAACAGAAAAATTAAAATGTCTTTTAAGCATATGGAGAGAGAACATGTACACTGGAATGGCACTAATTAAAAGTTTGATAAAACTCTGTAATGGCAAGTATGTGGAAAATAGACCCATTTCTGACACTGGTGGAAAGACTGTGTGGGAAAACTAAGATCTAAATATTTAAATGCCTTTTACCCTTTGGTCTAAAAAACCCACTTCCCGGAATTTACTCTCCAGTGGTTAAGGGATATTTGCTGCAGCACTGTTTTTAGTAGCAAAACAAAAACCTGAAAAGGCAACCAGCAACAGTCTAAAATCTATTAAACACAATGGAGAGAGGAGACACACAGACAGGACATAGATACACATTTACTTTTCACACTATATCCTTTTGTGCTAACTTTTACATTAACTGTATTTCTTTTACAGTGAAAAGCTCAAATCCAATCTTAAAAACAGATTGAAAATACTGAGCAAGCATCTAACTCTGTACACTTCATTGAGCTAGAGAAAAACAGAATATGGGAATTCAGACTTTATTTCTTGATTTCAGAGTTCATAATGTGGCTTGGTGAGATAACAAAAAATATAAGGTTGAGAGAAAATCATTAAATACACAATTATATAGACAGTAATTGCTATGATACATAGGTGGGAAAGGTCATCTCAGGCTCAAGGTGGGTCACCAAAAACCAGCATAAACCAGTTATAAACAGTCTGTCAGGGGATTTAGACAGCTTAAATTATGAAATGGTGGCCCCAAATAAGCGAATACCAACCTTCAAATTTGTTTTAACATGCAATGTTCTGAAAATTTTTAAATTTTGTATATTATAGGTTTCCAACTTCTCATAATAGATATAGGAACCAGATTAAAGCTAAGCAGCATCTGCTTCTTTTATAGAAAGAGACCATGTACCCTCCTACCCGTATCTTGTATATCCCAACCTGCTTCATCATTTAGTAATCTGCTTGGTTTCTATAAGCATTTAAGTTTCTTAACCCTGACACAGAAATGGGGGTAACAATAACCAAAACTACAAACAGTAAAGTACAGTAAAGTTCTTATTTATGAAGACAGACTTAGAAGAATTAGCTTTGCAACAAAATGTTAAACACTGGAAAGCAACTAGGGATAAATCAAACTAAGAGTAGTTACTCATATCAAGCTAAGAAATTTATAGTTGACTCCTATAATGGTCCTGACCAATAAACACCTTGATGTCCAGACCACTTTTATGGAGTGGTTGTATGCCAAATGGATCACCATTCTTTTATACATTAAATAGGGGGTATAAAGAAAGGGGAAAGTGTGAATTTTTATGACACCTCAATTTTAATCCTCCTCTCAAAGGCAACAAGAGGGAGGGTTGCTTAAAAAGGTTGAGATTTATAGCAATTTTGGAAGCAGTGTAGGATGAAACAAATCTCAGCCACAAGTACTCATTTCTGTAATACTAAGTCATATGTTAATCGTTTTGTTTGCTTTGCCTCTATGTTCTAATTAAAAGGAATAAAGGAAGTGGCTCCCTAATAGACATCTTTACAACATCCAATACTTGATGTGAGGTTATCTGAGCTAATCTAATCTTTCTTTTAAAGAACACGCATTCTTTCCAACAGGCTAGTAAGCAAGAATCTATTGTGCAAAACTGAAGCTGCTTCCCAAGAGATAATATGGGAGAAAATCTTCATTCGTAGGAATACAAAGTTTAAGCCACTGGAGCCACCAAAGTAAGAGATCCTTCAAGTTATGGATGAGAAGTAAAGAACAGTATTACAGACAGAACATGAACATGTAAGGAGACGGAAAAAGAAATTTCAGAAAGTTGGTGTCACAATAACGACATAAAAGATTAAAAGATTCCAGTTAAGAAATGATCAGTGTTTTCAGACTCTAAAAAAGGTTAAGTACACAGTTATTTACTAAGAATTCCTTTATAACAAACAAGTACAAAAAAGAACTGTTAAAATTCTCAAATTGAAACCATTTTATCAAAAATTGGCTTTTTACTGAAGTACTGAGAAACCAATCAAGATCCCACGGCCCACAATTGAAAGATGACTTGTTTCCTTAAGCACAGAAAGCAATATTGTGAGGAATAAAATTAAAAAAAAGAAAAAAAATCCACTGCATCAGACTGTAAGTAGTTCACTAGATAAAACTCATCAAAATGATTTCCAAAATATAAAAAAACATTATAAATCAGCCAGGAACAGAACACGATTTAAAAAGGGGGAGGATTAAATTACATTTTAAATACTTACATCTTCTCTAGGTAGTTTATTTTCATTGTCTCCTTCAATTCTCACCCGAACCACACCAGATTTGTCCACTATTTCCTGAATGACTTTGCCATTTTTTCCAATTACTTTTCCTTTAATAAGAGAAAAAAATATAACAATAAGTTAAAACCAATACTGTTATCCAACACTAGCCCAAATAATTTGACTTGCTATCAAATTAAAAAACCAAGCAAATCTCCGTCTTTTTATACTCTCAATATATTCACCCTGAGGACTACGGAGGAATTTTATCCTTGGTCTGAAAAACTTCCTTCTCTTCAGAGTGCCTAAGGCTATTATTAACTAGGATTGACAATGTTACTCACATGTAAGTCATTTTCCAAGTCTAGAACATTTTTTAATGTGCTCTACCATCATTTCTATATTTTTAAAATATCAATGTAACCCATTCCAAAACTTTGGACATATAAAGGCAAAAGAAACTTATTTTGGCACTGTTAACAAATTCAATCTTGCTTTCATATTCAAGTTGCTATTCATCCAAAACACACCTATTAACTTGAAGATACTTTTAAAATGAATACTCTCTTCGATGAAATGTTTGCGTTTAACATTTGTGACCAAGTTTTTAAGTACTTCATAGCTATACAAATACATATAGTATGTATATGTTAATGTTGTCTTCCTAGATATGAAATACAATATACTGACATAAATTCCAAATTATTTACCTTCTCCACACTTAACATTTAAGTGTGTCAAACAGCAGTTACTCAGTATCCAATAACTAAAAGAGAAACTAAAAGGGGGGATAGCAAATTCTCTCCCCCTTAAGAACTTACAGCAAACTAGTAAAATAGCAAAGCAGTAATAGATAGTGTTACCTGGTAAAAGAAGTAAATATTCACAGGTAACCTTCCCCGTATGAAACAGATGTATCCCTTATAAAAGTTACTAAGTCCAAATCCCTCATTCTTTTTTAAATCAGCAATCTATTTCCAGAATAAATTAATTTCAGTTGAAAGGGGTTAAAATGGGAGTTAATTCCTATTGCATGCTTGAAAAAACAAGTTTCCATTAAAGAATAAATAAGGGAACAACAGCAAGAGTAAATGGGTCAGTACAACAAAGACACCATTACAGGATTTTCTATCCCTATTCTCAAACCTCCTTCCCCATTAATAACCCTAAGTTTAAAAGCAGCAGCAACTGAACAGGTAAAAAGAAAAAAATAAGAGTAGGACAGGGAATTCACATGATGTAGGTCTTCTCTGAGCAGCCCTAGCAGCAGTATATAAAAGCAACCTTCATTGTTAACACAGTGAAGCTCAAGCAGCAACTCCATCCTTGACCCTGCTAAAAATAAGCAAATGTCTTTTCGAAAAAACAAAAATCAGACTGATATATCATAATCCCTCCCCCAGAATCTTTGCCCCTTCCTTCTATGAACTATACCAGTGGTGAGTGTACATCCATCACCCTTCTGGGGTCTGTGGCAGGGACCTACCTGAAAGTTTTATTTAGTCCCACCAGAGACCGCCAATATTTTAAATGATCATTTCCATTAAATTCCAAAGCATATTGACAAACTGAAGCAGACCTGTAGTATAAATTGAGCACTGAGCATAAATGCTGAAGGGACAGAGTAAAGAAGTGATTAAGGAAGGCTTCCAGGAGGTGAAAAGTTTCAATTTATTTTTAAATCAACGTTCATATAATATTTTTCTTTTGACTTAGGAGGGGTGGGAATGGTCAGGGTCTAGAACTCTTAGAACCCGAATGTGTAAGAGAATTCTCTTGAACTTACCCACCAAGTAGTCCTCATTCCCTTTTACTCCTCAGTCCACTTTTTCTTTTTCACTTGGACTAAGAATGTACTATTTTTCAAAAGACTGCTTCACCCATAAAACATTTTGGAGGGAAATGTATTATTATATACAACAACCAAGAAATCATTACACTACCTCTGAGTATTTCACCAACATATAATAGTTGCTGCTAATGTGTATTTTCCGAAGAGTCCCAAATAACCCACATCACCAAAGCGAACAAAGACAGAGTAGAGGAAAAGAGACATGACAAGTACATCATTGCACAGACAAATGAATTAAAGAGAAGAACCAGAGAACTATAAATATATCCAATTTCCTTATTTCTGAAATATCAGGAATTTTTACTCAAAATTAACACTATCACAAACTCTGTTAAGACCAAGGCTCTCTTCTATAGAATTGTTGGGCTGGAAAGAACCCGGATTTCCTTTCACACCCTCATCTCCAAATCAGTTTTACAAGTGAAGAAACCTAAGTTAAATCTGTTATGTAAAGCAGCAACCACAATGTTAGTACCAATAGGTGTCAATAATTGTGATTTAAAGAAAATAGGGGATTCGTTTTCAAAAGCAGCCTGTTAAAGGTGACTTCATTTGAGAATGATAAACATTTGATATTTTGTACCTTAATATTTGTTAGAATTATACAAAAATTCTTCAAGCTTATACTTAATTTTAACATCTCATCTCTCTAGCAGTTCAACCTACAGTGAACAAGAACCAATAAAATGGAGCTTACTTATCTGGCACTATGTCATACCTATCCAAATGCTTGGGAGAAGTAAGAGACAAACTAATAGTTGAATACCAAGAAACTGTCCAAGTTCTTGTTCCAGAGTATGCTAACTTGTTACTAGTCAAAACATCTTTTTAAAGTGGAAGTTTTGATGTGTTTTCTATTGTTTTTTTTTGAAATAGGATTTGACAGCTATAACACCTATAGCAAAAAAATCATTTCCAAAAGGCAAAACAGGCCTAACTGTATATAAATGGAGCCCAAGAGGCTCTGTTTCAATAAGGTCAAGAACCTCATCAGACACAGCAATGGACAAAAACTCAAGCCCCTCCTAGTAAATGTCTCTGCTTTATGTTAATGCTTACTTTTAAAGGTTTAGGATAATCACTGAGGATTTACTTAATACACGACCAAAATTTTTCCATTTGTCTCAAATAGCATTTAAAAGGACAGATAACACCAATGTAGAGAATAATAACAAAGCTATTAAACAACTCACCCAAGCTATAAAGCTCCTTTAACTACAGCTTCAAACTCAAAATTCTGTCACTTAACTTATAGCCCATGGGTTCATAATTTCCATAATGGTGTCAGAAACTTAATAGTGAATCCTCCCCTCCTATCATCATCACCATTCTTCTCTCCTGCCCATGACTTCTTACCTTATTCTATGCCTTTGCAACAACCAATTATTACTTATTCAGGGCCTACTGTATAGAAATTTATTACCCTATTGTTAGTCCACACTTACTTTTTCTTCTGCACTAAACAAAAGAAAAAAAAATCACAAACACCTTCTCAAAAAATACCATGACAATTTTGATGGATGGACATATGAGTGATAAAAAAGACATTAAGTGAATAAGAAGAGCAAGCCCAAGGGGTGAAATGGGTTTTAAGAAATGTAATGACAAACTGTTATAAAAATCATGGGTCGTATTAGTGAGGCACCCTGTACAGAAGGAAATATCTTTACTTTTTGTTACGATAATAACCGGATACAAGTCACATACAACATCACTAAAAAATTAAAAGTACGGCTATCAAATGCTCCATGTAACTATAAATACGGTATCAGACAAGATTAAATTTCAATTAAATTGTTGTATAATTAGTAACATTTAACATTTAGTAGAAATACCTACCAACAAGATTCCTAGGAACCTGAATAAAATCCTCCACAAATTCCAAGAAACCTCTAGCCTTTTTTACAGCATCAGCACTCTGCAGGAGAAAATAAACATAAAATATAACACTGAAGAAAACCCCAATCCAAAAAAAAAAAAAAAAACCCACACAAGAAATGAGAAATTCTGAATTATTATGCTCTAGTACAAAATTCTGCTCAGCCCACTAAAGTGACATTTCAAGTCAAGTAATTCATGAAGTGCTTTAAAAAAAAAAAAAAAAAAGAATTACTAAAAGACTAGGAAAAAAACATAGTATTAGAACATCTCTAAGGGAAGGGGAGGGAACCCTAAGCTGAGAAAATAGCAGAATTTAGCTTACTTACATTAGCCAAATTTTAACCCAATCCTAAATATATTTGGTCCGTACTCCCATGTTAAATTTCTCTAGGTGAATGTTAAATACAAATTATTCATATTGTCTACACTGTCCACACTTGTTTTTTTCACTCTCAACATAAATTATTTAAAAAGCTGTTTTTGTGGAGATGCATTTTTTTTAAAGTACCTACTGATAAGATCATTAAAATTCCTAACTTCTAATGGGTAAAATTTTAAGACTGAAAGACTGGGGAAGGGAGCCTCTCTACAGGGAATCTGTAGTTCTCAGGAAGTTACCTTCCACTTTTACTGTTCTTTAATAACAGCAGATGAAGTGTATTGTGTGCTCATCATATCATGTAACACAACAATTTTTTAAGTATATTTAATCCTCACAAACCGTAACATAAGCACTACTATTTTCATTTCTAAATGAGGAATTTATGCAGGGAAGTTAAGTAACTTTCTCCAAGCTCACTCCAAGTGGTAGAGACAATTCCAATCCAGACAGTGTGGCTTCAAAGCCTTCTGTCTTAATTACTGTATACTGCCCACTTTTAAAGGTTTCAGAAATAAAGTTTGAAAAAAAAAAAAAAATCAGGCCTCTAGTCAGATTCACTATAAACCCAGCTTTTCATGAGAACAACTATGTATGAAAAGTCATGACTTGAGGGGCACCTGAGAGACTCAATCGGTTAAGTGTCTACCTTCAGCTCAGGTCATGATCCCAGGGTCCTAGGATGGACTGGGCTCCCTACTCAATAGGGAGTCTTTGTCCCTACCCCCTTCACTTGTGCTCTTTAACTCACACACACTCTAATACATTTTTAAGATTTTATTTATTTGATAGAGAGAGGGAGAGCACAAAGGGAGAAGCAGACTCCCTGCCAAGCGAGAGCCTGACACAGGACTCGATTCCAGGACCCCGAGACCACGACCCAAGCCGAAGGCAGACGCCCAACCGACTGTGCCACCCAGGTGCCCCTCTAATAAGTACCTTAAAAAAAAAAAAAAAAGTCAAGACTTGAAATCATCACCCAAAAAAACCTCATCCATTTATTCTAATGTGAGGCATGGTCTTGATGAAAAGTCTGAATTATTTTCAAATTTGTTATTTTCCAGTCCACACAAATGTCACAATTAACCAGTGACAAAATATTATCCAAATTCAAGTTCTTCAAAAGCTCTTCTATTATATGCTGTTTACAGATGACAGTGCCTGACACAGCAAGCACCCAAAAAAAGCAAATTATTTGTAATGCACATAAAACAGAGTTAAAATCAGAAGCAGTTGGTTAAACTTCCAACAACAGTCCATATTAAATACTCAGTAAACTTTTATTGCCCCACATAATACAATACTATTTTAATCCACCTGCACACATGTAATGGTTACTGGGGTTGACTGATTTTAAAACTATTTCACTGGGAAACTTAAATGCCAAATAATATACAAACAATAGTTAAAGTTATTGAAAAAAATTTTTTTAAATAAAGTTACTGAGATGGGGGACAGACAATAGCTTACCTCTCCATAGATTCTAAATGTTCCAGTATCTTCATCTAGCTCAATAGCTGTAACTCCAGGAACCTTCCTAGCTTGCTGTATGTTACTACCATGTGTTCCTATTGCCAGGCCCATCAAATCTTCTCTCACAACAAATTCCTCATGAAAAGCTGCTGCAAGTTGTTTTGTGCACTAGTAAAAGAGGTATATTAGAACTTATATTACAAAACATCAAAAACAAAAAGTTTTCCATATACCCATGTTTGTAGTATTCATAATAGTCAAGAAGTGGAAGCAAACCAAATGTGCACTGACTGAACAGATAAACAGAATGAGATATAGGCATATAAAATCATTCAGCCTTCAAAAGGAAATTTTGACACATGCTACAATGTGGATTGAGGACACTGTGCTTAGTGAAATAAGCTGGTAACAAAAAAAAATACTGTATAGATTCCACCTATACGAGGTTTTTAGAGTAGTCAGATTTATAGAAACAAAAAGTAGAATGATGGTTGCCTGAGGTGTGCGGGGGTGGAGTGGCTGTCTAATGGATATAGTTTCAGTTTTGCAAAATGAAAAGTTCTGGAAATTGGTTGATTAACAACATGAACAGACTTAACACTACTGAACTACACACTTAAAAATGATTAAGTGGTAAATTTTATGTTGTATTTTACCAAAATTAAAAAAAACTAAGAAAAAAAAGATACTCATTTGGGATCATATAATAGAAGAGGAAAAACAGTTTGATAAGTATATTAATCATGATCACAGAAAATAGTTAATTCTAAAACAATTTTCTGGAATTACTGATATAAGGAGTTCTCCAATTCAGAGGATTCATTTTTCAATTCTCACTCACCATATATCCCTTGTTTGGAACCTTTTAAATTATTAACGGTACTTGCAAATACGTCCTAAACATATAAAGATATGTTTATATACCTCAATTTCTCTAAGATCTGAATGTGGTGCATGGGGAGGGGGGAAGAGTCTCCTACTAGTGTGGCAATGAAGAATAAGAGAAAACAAAGGAATACCTTAGGATGGGATAGAAAAGAAATAGGCTCTTTTTTAAAACGTACATGCTATGTGTCCTCCCCTCCTCTCCTCTTACGTAGGAGTTATTATAGTCAACTAGTTAACTAATGGAAGTGTGTTATGAATGACAGCTAAAAGGATAGTAAAAAAAGGTTAAGGACAGAGTAAAGAAAAACCAGGAATACAGTTCTATTAGATATCCTTATGAGTTTCTAAGTTCTTTGGCACCTGTTATCTAAGTCTTAACAAAAAACTCAACAGGCATTTAGCAAACAAAGGCTGTTTGGGGAAAGTAACAGAAAAAAAATAATTGTTCTAAGGGCACAATGCCTCCTGGTATTAGCCACAAAACAGGTCCCAAGTTGCCTTACCTAACAGTCAAGTAGTTTAAGCCAGGGAACGTGAATAATATACTTATGAAACTAAATGGGACACACAAAAAACCTTCTGATAAACCCACTTACTTCTAAATGCTTAGTGGCCTCTTCATTTCTGGACATAAGCATCAATTTCGTACGAATACTTCGCAAATGCATGTCACTTAAAATATTTACTCTCTTCACAGTTGCTTCGCTGGCAGACTATAAACAAACAAGTTAATCACTCAAAAAATCTTATTTTTCTAGATAATACAAACAAGAACCTTCCACATAAAGCCTTCCTTGATCCTCATCTACTACACTTCTCTCCCCACCCACCATTCTCCCTCCCATAGGTAATCCTACTCCCCACTCCCCTTTCTGAAGTCCCATATTTAGTTCTGCTATTCAAAAAATTGGGGTTGGGGGCAGGGGAGGATCCAGGATCCCACACATTCAGAATTTCATATTGTTAAGAATGCCATATTAAGATTTTTTCCTCCTTATTCCACACAAAAGATAGAAATTTAACATTTTATAGCTGTAAAAAAAATGTTTCTTTCATATGCATTAACAAATACACTGCATACCAAGTTAGCTTTTATCTTTTCAAATATTTAATTATAAAATCTGTGAAATATCCATTGGCTACCTTAAAATATGTAGTTATCTTACCAGTATCATTAGCTGTGTGGTTTCTGGATGGTAAAAAATTCTGCATGCTCCTACTGCTTTCTTAAAATCTTTATGTGCATTTTCATTAGCACACCTAGGGAGAAATTAATTCATATTTAAGACCTAAATAATAGATTAAATTCAGAAGGCAATTATAATGCAAACTAAGTATTTCATTTTGACATTACCCATTAAAACTTTTGTTTACTAAAAAGATTATCAGAAGTTTTTCATTGGGTGTTTGGGAAAAAAAGATTTTTGTAACACTAAAAAATCCTCTTAATTCACAAAGCAATTCAATAGTAAACAAAATTACTCACGCCTCTCTCAAATCCTCAGGAACATCCACTGTGCATTTAAAGAAGGTATTTTTTTTGACAGTTTTATTTTGATTGACAGGTCGAAGTCGTTCAAATGTGACTATTTCATTGTAAGTGGCATCACAAGCAGCATATTCAATGACATAAAACTAAAAGACATCAAAATACTTTAAAAATCCCATCTGAACAAAAATAATGAGCTTTAAATGAAGTTCTAATTGCCTTGCTCAGCTTAACCAATAGACCCTCCCCCTTGTGGCACAATACTAAGCACAGCTTAGTTACATCAATCTGATTTGCCTAAACTAGATTATTGGCTCTTACAAGCATGAACCTTGGTGGTCCTCACATCCTTGAAGTGTATCCCTGAAGAGAAGCTTTGAGGTTTGCAAGTTCAGAAAAAAAAAAAATAAATAAATGGTCTAATGAATTTTTAAAATGTATGATCAATTATTTCCAAATTAGGCGTTTAGAAAAAAAAAACTAAGAATTGAAGTAACATTTACAGAAACCAAGAGCTGAGGTATTTCCTTGGACACTAGTCACAAAGCAAGTGTAAACATCACTTACTTCTCCTTTCATCATTCGAACTTTAGCCAACCACCATCCACATGGTTCTTGGTCATTTGCTCTTGAATATACCTGAGAAGAGAAAAAAAGGCCTTTATCCATTCATCCTGAAAGATTTCAACATTATAATGACTTACTATATATGCCAAATCCCATTAAACTCTAGAAAAATGTCACTGCACTAAAATTGATGGGCTAACCATAATTTAATAAAAGAAGTCATGTATCCTTAAATTTTACTACTGAAAAACAAAACTGAACCCTTTTTGGGTAATCTGGCTCCTTGAAAATCTAATTCCAAATTCATGAGGTTTTCCAAACATAAATATTATTTGAAAGAAGGCTTTCCACAAGGCAGTTTAACATAGTGTAAAACAGAGTTCTTTCAGTTTCTGTCAATACTGTTCACTTTTAAGCACTGCATTCTGATGATTCAAGTATCAGACACAAGGATAAGCTAGAAATTACTAAAGACATTTCAAATCTCATAACAATATTTTTAAGATGTTGAAATCAAGAATGGTTTTCAAAAAGAAACCCAATTTTAAAACCTTCAAGGATATGATATTTAGATTCCTTCCTGAAGAACCTAAATCAAATGCACTAAAATTGTTCAGCTGAATAAAAATTTAAATTATACACATTTAGTACATCTAGCATAGTACGTAAGAATCTTACAAACCTCTTCCGTAAAAAAAATTATCTTATATTGCTCTGTATTTGTAATTATCAGGTATTTTGTAACGTGACACATTAGGGAAGTTTCCTTTAGGGATTAGAGTTATTTCTTATGGTACAGCATCTTGATATATTTTCAATATGTGGAAAATTGGGGGAAGGGGGAATCTGGGAAGAGACAACCAAGAAGAGCCCCATAAAAATCTTTTATTATATGAACAAAGGATGTCTCTGCAGAGGAGGAGAGAGAAATCTACCAATATATGTTAACACCCATCTTTGGGTTAAATGCAAACAACTATTGATAATAAGCAAATAGTTTTGGAAAGCCTGAAGCCTCACTGAGGTGATCTGAGAGTAATCTTGGAAGTGGGGGAATACTGGAAATGTAACTGAGTAAGCCAAAACCTCATGATCAACTTCACTGTGCACCATGATCAAAAAAAAGGAAGACCTACATACCAATCAGGCTCCAGGGGACTCAACTTTAGCTCTGCATTTCTTTATGAGCCCACCTATTTCATAACTTTCATCCTTTCTTATAGTCTCCAAAAAACAATAAATTTTACTTTTTTTAGAATAAAACAAAATTCATTCTATCTTGCAATTACATATCCAGTGGAACCTCTTATAAATATAAGGGGAAATCTAGCGATCTTTTTTTTCCTGTTATCTTGAAACACTTCACTATTTCATCATCATTCATCAATTATTCCCAACTGTGCATTAAAAAAGACTTAAAAAAAAAAAAAGAAGAATGATGGTATCACCTGGAAGAACACAACAGTGAAATATAGCGTTACTATTGCATCATCCTGTAGTTTCTTTACTGCATAGTCTTTCAAGAAAGTATAAAAAGACTGGAGACACCATTCTTGAAGTCTGCTTTTGGTTTTCACTGAACAGTTAAGAATTCAGAATTTTTAATTTTCCACCCATAACTGCAAAGACAAAATTTACAGAGGAAGGGCTTTCACAATTATTAGAGGAATCAGGACTGATGCAGAGATAGACAATAGCACTCTAGATTCTAATGATGAATGTGAAATTATAAGCAGAATCTCCCACCATGAAGCCTTCAGATGATGAATATTCCCAAACAATATACTTCTAAGTAGAAAAGGGAAATTTAGTATCCTCACCCAGTTAATCAAACTAGGACTTCATCATACAAAATCCTGCAACAAGACTCGGGACCATTCTGTTTTTCTAAAAGGACACGTGACCATATTCTTTCATCTTTTATGACTGTACACCAAAATGTACCCCCATACAGCTCATAAGTGGACAAATGCCAAAGGCAAAGATGACTAGAAACAAATGAAGACATGCAAAAAATTCAATGGATTAGTCAATGCAATTGGTTAAATATGAAAATGGTATAATTATAACACAAAGATGACTATGCTCTGTTCAATAAAATTAGAAGCCACTAAGAGTTCCAAAATATTCCTAAAGTACTGCATTTCTGATAATCCAAGTATAAGATGAACCAGAATGAAATGATAAACTAGAACTTACTAGATGTGTTTTAAATTTGATATCAGAATTTGTAAGATGAATTTATTCTGCGTTTATGCATGATAGCTGATGAGAATATTTAGAGACCTGTACTCATTTTAGGTATATGTATTATCAGAACCAGGAAAATATGAAATAAAAAGTTGTATTTGCTATGACTTTTTTTTTTTTTTTTAAAGATTTACTTATTCCAGAGAGAGGGAGGGAGAGAGAAGAGAGAAAACGCACGGGGGGGGGGGGGGGGGCCTAGAGGGAGAAGGAGAAACTCAAGCAGACTCCGCTCTGAGCACGGAGCCCGACACAGGGCTCTACCCCACCACCGTGAGACCACTACCTAAGCAAAAACCAAGAGTCAGATGCTTAACCGACTATGCCACCAAAGTGTCCCTATATTTGCTATGTTTAAATGCTCATTAAGATACTTAATGTGGACCTTGAGCATCCTTTTATTAACTTCTGTGAAATTATATGTAAACAGACTTAAATTTTTCTTAAAAATGGCCCACTGGGCCCAAATGGTAAGTGCTGATGACCATTTTCCCTGAGTATGCCACAGACTAAAAGAAAACCTAAGAACAAGAGGGAAAGTGCCCATTCCAAATACTATCTCAGAAAGGCAGTTCAGCTAAACAGAATGGAGTATCTCTTGGTGATCTAGTGAATGGGTGCCCCAAAAGTTTCCGGGGGGCAGGGGTGAATGGGTCTTTAAATTACCTAAATCCCTTTGCTCTAATTCTACTTTCACCAAAACACAATTTTCTAGGCATGTGGCTTCCTATGTAAGCTTACCACCAAAAAAAGAGAATAAACCATTCTGGACTGCCTTGAGGCTTTATATTTCTCACTGAACATTAAAATGCTGGATTCCATTTTATACTTAACCTACCTCTGTAAGCTTCATTAAAAACTCTACCACTGAAAGACAAAGTCATTCTCATAAAGCCAACTAAATCCAAGTTCCTGAGCTTGTATCAAACACTATGAATCTGGCTCCACTTGAGTGCAGTGGGTCAAATCACATTCTTTCCAAAATGAACAGTTTATCTCACACAATAAAAAATCACTTTAATGCTGCAGCATTAAAACTGTGCCCTAGTATACTGTGCCCCAGACGTTGACTACTGTATTTATGACTACATCACTGGAATAGGAGCGCCTCATAGAAATTCCCTTTATTCAGACTTTAAATTTCCAAACTATTCCCAAGGAGCAAATCACGCTCTAAAGCAATAGCCCTCATTGTTTTAACATTCTAAGTGTCTACAAATCCAAGGAAGAGCTTTAAAAAAAAGACCCGTGAAAGACCTAAAAGCACAACAGTACTCAGGCTGAAGAAGTCCAATTTCACAGAGTGGAGGATGGAATATGAAAAATCAAATTCCAGAATTCTATTTCAGGGTTCTTTCTGCCAAATAACTCCAAGTCAAACCATACTACAAAATAGCCTCTAAATTCTAACCCACAACCAAACTGTTACTTAAATGGAATTCCAGTCTGGATCCTAATGTTATCAACCTTTCAGTCAAGTTAATATCTAACTATCCTTTTCAAAGTCAAAACCAAATATGAACACCAGAAATAATTTTTTTTACCAGTTTTCACCAAATTAACTATGAAGAAAATTTCTAAATAATGTTAACCATTAAACTGAATACTTAATCATAACAGCCAGTTTTATAAAGTACTGTTCCTCTATATTCACTATTTCATCTCATTACAATCGTAACCTATTATGAAAAATGGAAAATGTCCATTAGGAAAGCAAGTTTAACATCTAGAACACACTAACGTGATTTATCTACCTATGTAATAGTATTTTCTCAAATATGTTGCTGACACTTTTAACAAATGGGTTTCTTAAGTCTTGGAAAATAGCCATTTCCCATATAATAAACAAGAATGTTTACCTCTTTAACATATGCAAATTTCCTAAGCACTAAGACTAACAATAAACTTGGCATTATAAGACAGACTAAATACAGATGGGTAAAATTTTCAGACTGGGTGCAAGAATCAAATTGAGGTATTTTTTAAAGGTAGAATGCCTGCCATTCCACCTACTTGTGCTCTCTGTCAAATAAAATCTTAAAATCTTTAAAAAATAATAAAGGTAGAATGGAAACTACATGTATCTTGCATTAAAAAAAAAATACTGAATTTTAAAAATTTTAACATAAGCGTGGGCGCCTGGGTGCCTCAGTTCGTTAAGCATCCAACTTTTTTTTTTTTAAGATTTTATTTATTTATTTGACAGAACGCGCGCGCGCACAAGAACAAGCAAGGGAAGCAGCAGGCCGAGGGAGAAACAAGTTCCCTGCTGAGCAGGGAGCCCGATGTGAGGCTCGATCCCAGGACCCTGGGATCACGACCTGAGAAAAGGCAGACGCTTAACTGCCCCTAAGCATCCGACTCTTCATTTCAGCTCAGGTCATGATCTAAAGATCGTGAGACTGAGCCCTGCCCTGAGCTCCATGCATGGAGTCCGCTTGACAGTCTCTCTTTCCCTCTATGCCCCTCCCCCCACTCACATGCGCTCAAAGGCCCTCTCCTCCCGCCCCACCGCAAACCCCCCCCAATAAATAAAAAAAAGTTTTTCTTAAATTTTCCGGTAAGGGAGTCTCTGATCTCAAATTATTCTTATTACCCTTATTTCTCTCAAGGCATCTATCCCAACATTATAATTAAAATATAAAGACATAGAAACATAATGTCTGACAAGCCACCGTAAAAGATAAAAGGTTTATGTCACAAGAACAGAAACTTGCCAATCTTACCTCAACCAGAAAGCATCACAATTAAAAAAAAAAGTTGTTTACTCAAATATATTAAACCCAAGAGGAAAACCCTGTAAAATTATATACTGGCTTGAGTGTCAGGCTTCCTATGGAATGTGTTTGTGTGAGCTCATACACTAACTTGCTGAACAAAGCGGTTATCTATAGTAAGAGACAAAACACTTCACATGTGAAATCACTGGGGAAAAAACATTTTCTACTGCACTTCCAATATCCCAGAATACTATATTATATATCCAGCTTAAGAAAATCTAGAAATCATTTTCCCATTACTTCCAATTCCACAAGATGAGCATTTTCTTAGCAATCTTAAGTTAGCAAAATCAACCAAGCAAATACTTACTGAAAAAATTTAATTCTACTAAACGTTAAAGATTTTAAAATATACGCCACTTTTTAAAAAGTCAAAAAGCCACTAAGGAAAAAAAAAAGGCACTAAGAGGGTTTAAAAATAAAGCTTTGAATTTTAAACCTTTCAAAACCATCTCTCTCCTATAAATCACATACTGTTTTCTTGAGGACATTAGACCATGACACTAATTTATGTTCTATAATTCCATGTAAGCCTCGTAAATTGACTGGAAATATGAACCTCAAGTAGCCACTTTTATAGTAGTAAAATTTTAGGATGGGGGTATGGGTTAGCCTGGTGATGGGTATTAAAGAGGGCACGTACTGAATGGAGCACTGGGTGTTATATGCAAACAATGAATCATGGAACACTACATCAAAAACTAATGATGTAATGTATGGTGATTAACATAATAAAATAAAAATTTTTTTAGGATAAACCATATGAAATTGTCAATATTCAACCATTCCTGACCTACAAGAATTAAACTGTCATGACTGAACTCCATGTGTTAGCAAAAGTATGAAGTAGTAAATCAAAATGCATTTTTGGAGGACAAAATTGGTACATTTTGGTACCATCAAAATTTTAAATACACATGCCTCCAATTTAGCAAGTGAACCACTTAGGTTCCATACTATCAGAAAATGATTTACATAAGGACATTAACTCTGGGTTTTATTTTTTGGCAATAGCAAAAAATCTGCCAATAATTTTAATTTCTAATTATGATACATCCATACTAAAAAATATTATGGGGTGGTTAGAAAGAATCAGGTAAATCTGTATGTACAGCACGAAAATGTCTATTATATCCCAACTGACTGAATACAGAAATCACAAATATATAACATAATCCCAATTTCTGTAACTTAAAAAAAACATTCTTTAAAAATGCAAAGAAAAACACAACTCTGGTAAATGAGATTTAAGCTAGAGTGTACAAACATACCCACACTAAGAGGGAAAGTTCACTTTTTATTTTATATAATTCTATATCATTTCATTTTTTACATTAAACTTTATTTGAATTTAAAGGAGGAGGAGATTAAAAAGAGAACTACCCTAAGGCCCAGTAATCACACCACTGGGTATTTACCCAAAGAATACAAAAATACTTATTCAAAGGGTTATAAATATATGCACCCCTATATTTACTGCAGGATTACTTACAAAAGCCAAACTATGGAAGCAGCCCAAGTGTGCATCAACTGATGAATGGACAAAGATGTGGGGGGGGGGTGTGTGTGTGTGTACACACACACACACCAGATTATTATTCAGCCATAAAAAAGAATGATATCTTGCCATTTGCAATGACACTGATGGAGCTAGAGAGAGTATTAAGTAAAAGAAGCTAGTCAGAGAAAGGCAAACACCATATGATTTCACTCATATGTGGAATGTAAGAAATAAAACAAAGGAAAAAAAAAGAGACAAACCAAAGTACAAACGAGAGAACAGATGGTTACCAGAGGGGAGGTGGGTGGGGGAATGGGTAAAAAAGGGGAAGGGGATTTTAAGTACACTTATCTTGATAAGCACTGAGTAATATATATGAACCTATTCAATCACTATATTGTATACCTGAAACTAAATGAACACTATGTTACCTACACTAGAATTAAAATTTTTAAAAATTTAAAAATTTAAAAAAAGAGTAAGGAATTTTCAAAAATGTATTTGGTTCAAAATTAACAACCATAATTCCTAAACATTTCAGGTCATACAGTTTCCTAACTAATGGTGGCCAAAAAAAAAAATAAAAAAGGACAAAGAAAAAGCGAATAAATCCGTGGGTGGCAAGATCGATTTTAAACTTTATGTGACTTTTCAAATTTTTCAAAAGTGGAAAAAAAATGACATCTTAATTTCAGATAATGATTCTCACAATTTAAGGAACAAATTTCACCAAGACTAAACCATAAAATACAATGTGAAAGAAAACACTGCAATCAATTTTCAAATCATTCCATCTCTTACACCGATATTTTGTACACAGCTGGAGAAGCAGGCCAAAAAGATGGTCCAGGAACTTCTTAGTCTCAGACAGGGGAAAGCACCATGAGCACACCACCAACTTTTTCCTTTAATCTGAGCCTTTACCGTTTCATTATCTGAACAACAATTTAAAAAGTATGAAAAGCACTAGTCTCAAAATTGACCACCACACATTTCTAATTCTAGAACATTTCCAAAATGAAGTCATTCCTTGTTTGACCTAACCCATCACCAGAATTCCAGAAGAAAAAACTTCTAAAACAGAAATTTTGAAAAATGAAAACAAATCAAGCTCTTTTAGCCATCCCTACAAAAAGATATTGATTAGAAAAGGATTCAATACTGAGAAAAACATTTTCACTGGAGTCTAAAGTCCAAGTGAACAAGTAGAGTAGTAATCAGCAGCATCATGGCTACAGTTCATAGTATGCACCAGTACCCTATTTCACACTCCTTAATTTACAGCAGTTTGCCACTTTGTTTCCCTGTGTCTTCCCATACCATCTATGACATTTCCCTAAAGGACACAAATACACACCACACCTAGACTACAGCTACAGATCTTTAAAAAAGTTCTTAGTTCCCACTTTTGGTGGAAGTAAACTATAAAAGAAAAAAGTAAAGTGAAGGTTATACCATTACAGAGTGGTCTCATGGTGCCCTGACACAATTAAGTTATAACATGCTTTGATTTAGCAAAAGCAAAAGGGTGCCCAGTGAACTTAGAGCAAGTAATTAAAATCTAGGCCAAATTTCAGAATGGCAAGGAGTTTAGGCTGCCAGGAATTAAAACGAGCCACCATTCTTTGGTTTCCTAGCATATAACATCTACAATTAATGGGAACTCAAAATTTACTATTAAGAATTACAAAAAATAAAAAAGACAGATAACTGAGTTAATGCGCCAAATGCTCAGAACACTGGCTCAGAGTATGTACTGCTAAGTGCTTATAAAAACATTCACACAGATATTTCATCTGTATAGGTTCTCCTATACCTCCAGTTCCCCCAACCCCATCCTACATAAACTAGAAAAATATATTTAGCATATTAGAGCACCTTGAAGGAATTACATCAATTTCTTGAAAATCACAAATCAAATTTTCTGTCTCCAACAGACTCACAACACCTCTATTTGACAATTATTTCCATGTTTCATTTCACATAACATCAAGCATATTTAACACTAACATATTGAAAATAGACATCCAAACTCTACTAAGTGTGAATAAAAGCAATGTACAAAGCAGCAGCACTATATAATCCCACTTTTATTTTTAAAAATAGGGGCGAGAGAGAGCCTGGGAATGACAAAAATGGTGAACAGTGGTTTTTTCTTCTCACATAATTCCTATTTAGTCCTTTTGGTTTTTCTGTACTTTTAAAAATTTTCTGGACATTTCTAAACTATTCAACAAGGCTGTATGCTAATTACAATATTTCACATTTTTATGTATCAACTATATTAACGATCACCATAATAAAGGACAACTATTAATATACTACAAAGATACTAAGAAAAAAAAGTACAAGAAAAAATTTAAAGTAATTAGCAAAAAGGAAAACAGCAACCAATACCACACAGCTCTGTGCCAGATTCCATACAAACCAATTCAAATACACTATCATTCTTACTCCCAAATTATTTTCATTTTCATAGTAAAGAAACTTGACCAAGGCCACAAAGCTAAAAATGGTAAAGCTAAGATATGAATCCCAGTTCTGATTCCAAAACTCAAGCCCTGCTATATATATTACACAGCCAATTAATAATAAAGACTAGAGAAAAGGAATTAATTTATTGTCTATCAGCTAAACAGATTTTCCTAAAAGAATATTTATTTAGAACAAAAAAAGACACACACAAAAACTTAAAATACATACCTCTACTTCATCTCCTTCACTAATTTCTTTTTTTATGTCAGGTGGTGGTGGTAATCTAACTTCATTAAATGGAACCTGGCGTTCTGGCTGCCAGCTGAAAGATCAGAAAAGGAATTAACAATTCTGAAACAGATTATTCTAAAAGTCCCTAATATGGAAGCTATACAGTCTATGGTAGTGTGTATTTTTTGAGTGTGAGTTAATCATTTAGCTTTCTCTAAAAAAAAGCAACCTTCATTCATATTATGTTTTTCCAAGTAAGTAGTCTGTTGAGGTAAAACAGATTTTGCATGACTCTTAATGAAGTTTATAAATTAGCATCATTAATACTAATTATGTATTGCCATCAAAATTACTCATCCTCAAGGAACAGTACATACATTTTAATAGCTTAAGTTCATCGTAATAATTTAGACTCGAAATAATGTCACATCTACACTGTCAATAAACAGTAGTGCAACCAACTTATTTCAAACAATTTTACAACTATATGACCTATCAAAGGAACAGAATTTCAGAGCTTGTAAAATATTAACTGCATTTTTTGTGTGTACATGTTCACAGAAATGCAGAAAATTAGTTATTTTGCACAGCTGAATTACAAGATTTAATTTTCTTAAACAGAATTAACATTTTCTGCAATGAATACATAATATTAAAACTTGGGAAAAGCTGACATTTAACTTTACAGCAAATATGACCAAATTAAAACAAACTTGGCTGTTGGTTAGATAACATTTTTTGTGTCATACTGCAAAAACTGGGTTGATAAAGTTAAAAATTCTTCCCTATTTGGGCGCCTGGGTGGCTCAGTTGGTTAAGCGACTGCCTTCAGCTCAGGTCATGATCCTGGAGTCCCGGGATCAAGTCCCACATCGGGCCCCCTGCTCAGCAGGGAGTCTGCTTCTCCCTCTGACCCTCTTCCCTCTCGTGCTGTCTCTCATTCTGTCTCAAATAAATAAAATCTTTAAAAAAAAAAAAAAATTCTTCCCTATTCTAAGAAGTCATTCATATGCCTGGGAGGCACACTAACACATAAAATAGCAAATAAATTCCTATAGCTTCCAACTGCAGATGCTAGGCAAAACATCAGGAGACAAGATTTTTGAGTGCCTTCTTTTCACCATTACTGTGAAATGGCAGCTGCTCAAAGACAGGAATCACCCCAACACGTTTCTACATGAAACAGCTGCTGGGCAGAGCTCTCTTCAGGCCATTCCAGAAGAAGCTTAAAAATGAAAGTTGAAGACTTCTGACCTTCAATTATACAGTGCTCCTTTAAAACTCTTCTGAACCAAGCCCAACATACTTTCACATTTTTTTTTTAAAGATTTTGTTTATTTATTTGAGAGAGAACAGGAACAGGGGGAGGGGCAGAGGAAGAAGCTGGATCCCCGCTGCATGAGGATCCCAATGCGGGCTCAAACCCAGGACTCCAGGATCATGATGCGAGCCAAAGGCAGCCGCTTAACCGAATGAGCCACCTGGGTGGCCCTGTCTTACACATTTTCTAAACAAGACCTAGACCCTACAACAACTATAAAACTGATATTATTCCTTATTAATATCAAGTGTAAATTAAAGGCGGCCCAATACACAACAGCAGCCATTTGGAAGGCCTTCTACAACATCGTTTCAGCATTCTGTGATTTTAAGAATTAGGCATAGTATAATCCCATTTGTGCCATCTATTTTTGCAAAAAATACTAATTCGTGTTCACATATGTTTTGGCAAAAAAAAAAAAAGTCACGAAAAAATAACAAGTATATCGTGGGCAGAGAAAAGAGGTGAAAAGTTATCAAAACTAGAACACCCAGAAGCAAACACGAATTTAGCACAACCAATCTTTAAGATCTCTATCGATAAAAAATGACTTACTTGTTCTCAAAAACAACTGTGAGGGAGTCTTCATGAACATCTTTGATAAATCCCTGCAAAAAACAAGAACATTATCAAAAGCACGTCAATATCCAATTAAATGTTATGTTAGGGGCACCTCGCTGGCTTGGTCAGTAGAGCATGCAACTTTTTGAGTTGTGAGGGTTGTGAATTCAAGCCCCACTTTGGGCAGAGAGAGCACTTAAAAAAATTACATTAACTGCAAAAGCCTATACTACACATACAAATATGGAACACCGAAAAGAACACAAAGCTTGGAATTAGGCAGATGTGGGTTTGATTTCCATCTCCATCATTTATGAGCTATACAACCTCAGAAGTTACTTAGCCTCTTTGAATCTGTTTCTACATAGTGTCACCTACCCTAGAATTAGGAAAAAATGAATGTACATCCATAAAACATCATAGGTATTACTCAATACTCAAACTGAGCAAGGCTGTCTTTAGGACTGTGACTAGGAGTTCAGACTCTTAGAATCAGGCTGCCAGGATTCATATCCCAAGCTCTTGCATTTACATATTCTTGGGCATAATTTCAACCTAATGGTTCATTACAACATCATTCCTCAAGGAATTATGAAAATTGAGATTTAATGTTCACCATAGTACTTGGTGAAATTACAAATATCAATAAATATTACCCTCCACCATTAGTAAAAATCGTAACTACATTTTGAATACTAACCTTCAGTTAATTTAATTTTATTTTTCCTACCAACTTCCCTTCCTCCTTCACTAAAAAAAAAAATTCAACTATAGTTAAGTACACTGCTTCAAAACCATTTTGAAATGAATATAAAGATTCAATAAAAATCGGTGGTCATTTTCTAGTCTGAAAATTAATTTTCAAACTAATATTTTTAATCTATCTTCATTTGATTGATACTGCTGAAAGAAACTCTAAGATCTGACATTCAAGAAAGAGCAAAGGACGGGTGTAGAAAAACTGTTCAAATTCTTGCTCTGCCACTGCATAACCTTGGGAGTGCAGTCCACTTGACACCTGTATGATTACAACTGACATTAAGTGACACTTTGTATTACTGTCAAGAAGAAATGCGAAGTTCTCAACCTTAGCCAAATGCTTACATACACTTTGAGCCACAAGGTACTCAGTCAATAATCTTCTAAAACATCTTTATCACACTAGACTCCATAATATCCACTAAAAACTAGCTAAATAAACACACTTGCAGTACCTGGTTAAAACAAGGCAGGGATGAACATTTCCAGTTTACTTCATCTTCCTCCCCCAAAAGTCCATTTAGTAATACTAAAGGAACTTTAAGGCATGAACCAACAAGAATAAAGACAATAAAGAGCAAAGAAAAAATTGCAACATTTTGGAAATTTACAAAACAGAAGTCTCAGTAATTTAAAAAACAAAGCAACAATTACTAATACTGAAATGCTTACTATATGTCAGACATTTTTCTAAGGAAATAGAAACCAAAAACTGAAAAGTAAGCAGATCACTCACTACTACCACCCCAGAAAATCTAAAGACAGAAACTCTTGGAAAGGAGAAGGTAAGAGATGTGGCTAAATATAAAATCATCTTCATTAATATAGATTCACCAATCACAAAACATAGGTAACTAAATAAATCTAAAGTCACTGCACTCCTCTCACATTTTGCTACTCAACTGCATGATTTTGTATTTGACCCTGATGTCACTCCAGCTTCAAATGTCTATTATCTGCTTTATTTGTGTGCTATTGGACATTTCAATGCAAATATCCTCATGTGAGGCTAAACTCTGGATACAGTCAAGAGTGCTATACCAACTCCTGCCATGCAATGCCAGAGACATTTTTATTCTTCTTTCCCAAAGTTAAAAATTAAGAGCTGCCATTCCAGTTCTGATTATCTGACCATGCCATAATAATGACAGCCTGGCCTGTTTCTCTCTTCCCAGTAGGTTCAACCACAGATCACTTTCTGCAATCACTGTGGTCAGCACTTTCATAGTTATGTAACCAACAAATCTATCTCTATTAATACCCTTAACACTTGTAGGAAATATTTAGAAACTGAGAATTTCCAAGTTCATGAATATGAAGTAAAACATACCTTACCATCAAGCGGTTAGTCCTTTTCGACTTTGACTAAAGTTTTCTAGTCCTTCACAACTTTCAGAGTCTAGAATGTTTTACTAAGAAATCTTTGCAGTTTCTGTGTAATTTACAAAATGAGTTCAAGTCAGAGCTCCAAGCCACTGGGAAATTTTACCCTTCGTTATACTAAAAATCTATTTTTCTATCTAAAAGTCAACATTTACTCAACTCTTTCCAACCCATCCCCACTTTACTTCCACCACCACCATCATTTTTGTTTGGGTGCATGTTTTCCACAAACTTTTGAGAAAAAATACAACTCTAGACACCTACTTAAATTACTAATACCCTCCAAACATAAAATTAAATAGATTAACAATGAACTGTTAGTTAGCAAACACTTTCTAATCCCCAAACCCTAGATTTAGATTCTAGGGATAAGGTGCTTCTAATGGCCAGAACTCCATGAAATTTTGTCCATTTGATGCAGGACTCAGACATCACTTCTCATGGTATTTCTGTATGCTCCGAAATCACCAGAATGATGATGCTAGCTCCCTATACACTCAGGCCGCAAAATGGCAGGGTTAGGTCATTGCCAAAATCCAAGTCAGGGGACAGTAAATAACAATGGTCATATCTGTCTGCACAAGACAACAGCAGGGCCTTATGACTTTATGTCTCCACAACTTCTGTACCTCCTCATGTTCTAATCCAACCTTTGGGGATTTTGTCTCTCTTCCTATTCACCATTCATCTGGCCCAGGACCTGTATTTCTCAGAAAAAAACCTTTTACATTTCTTTTTCCTCTTCCCACATATATGCAAACACAAAAATTCCGAAACATCATTATAAAATTGTCCCTTTATATGCTTATGTGAAATTCTTAACTATAAAGTATCATCAATAAGCAACAAGGAAGTATAACACATCAAAAATGTAATCAAAATATCGTTAGAATGTTGTCCCCAACAAAGCAACAAATAGAACATTACACAGTAAAAACCCAGGAATGCCACAAACGATGTGTAAAATGGAGGTAAGGGAAGGGATGAAGAAAACAGCAAAAATCCCTGAGCTACAGAAGTACTATTTGAAGAACTGATTTTTTTAAAAAGCAATACAGCCTTAAAAAAAATTTTTTAATTCAATAAGGTGGCAAGTTAATAATCAGTTTGCTCTCTAGATAAAATAATAAGCAGCTGGAAAATAAAACAGACAAAAAATAATCTAACGGCAGCAGCAATGAAAAATTAAAATCTTAGGAATGCCCTCAACAACTACAAAAACAGAAATGTACAGGAGCTATGTGCAGAATCTTTGAAATTCAACTAATGAATATATATATATAGAATATTCAGGAAAATGTAAATCATATCACATCCTTAGGAGATCTTGATATTGTAAAAACTTAACATGCCCCTAAGTGGGACCCCACTAAAATAACTAAGAATTTAGGATTCTATTAGGGGAAAAGAGATTAATCTTAATAACACCAATGTCTATATTTAAAGTAAGTTAAAACACTCAAAATCGAAACTTTTAAGTGGGAGTAGAGAGTAAAGAAAACACACTATCCCTTCCAAATATTAAAGTTTTTAAAGCTATAACAATCAAGACAAAAAAAAAAAACCCACACACACTTTAAGAGAACAAAACAAATTCCAAAACTAGGTCTAAGTCATTTAGGAAATTACAAATAGGAGGAAGAATGGTTTGTTTTTAAATAGTATTGGGACGTCTGAATAATTATTGGGAAAAAATGAAAATAGACATTTTCACCAAAAATATAATCAATGGATGAAAGATTCAAAGTTTTTTAAATAGAGATTCCAAGAGAAACCTAAGTTACTTATAACTTCAGACTAAGGAAGACCTTTCTAACCAAAAACACAAAACCCAAAAGCCACAAGAGCACCTGGGTGGCTCAGTCAGTTATGCATCTGACTCTCGCTTTCCACTCAGGTCATGATCTCAGGGGTTGTGAGATCAAGCCCCACGTCAGGCTCCATGCACTCAGCAGGGAGTCTGCTGGAGGGTCTCTTTCCCTCACCCCTCTCCCTCTGCCCCTCACATATGCACACAAACGTGTGGGCTCTCCCTCTAAATCTTAAAAAAAAAAAAAAAAAAAACACAAAATGCTTGACAAGTTTATACTACCTAAAAGCTAAAAATTAATAATCTGAACAAAGAAAAGAAAGGAAGGTAAAACACAGAATTAAATTCCCAATTTATAGCCTCAGGTGAGCTAACAGGTGAACAGCTAATAAGCGAAAGTAACAATGGGTATGAACTATGTGAATGGGTAGTCACAGAAAAAATAAGTTGTAGTTTTAATTATATAAATCGTTTTTAAAATCTTATGTTTGGGTGCCTGCATGGCTCAGTCGTGAAGCGTCTGCCTTCAGCTCAAGTCACAATTCCAGGCTCCTGGGACCAAGTCCCACATCGGGCTCCCTGCTTCTCCCTCTCCCACTCCCCCTGCTTGTGTTCCCTCTCTCGCGGTCTCTGTCGAAAAATAAAAATCTTTTAAAAAAATAAAAAATCTTATGTTTACTGTGATTTGTTCTGAACTTTGCTTTTATCCTCCCACTTTTTGTTCTGTAGATCATTCCATTTCAGAATACAAAAAGCAACCTAACAATTTTGAGGTGGGAGCTTAAACTGCTTGGGAAAAGAAGTGCAGAGAATTATCTACCTAAACTTAAAGATACATTTGTGATGACAGAGAACACTACAGCTGAAAAACAGGTTTTCAGCTTGATGAGGGCAGTCATGGGGGGGAATCCAACTGGTTAAGCAGAAAGAAACATGGTATGAATTATTTCAGAAACTGAAAGACCAAGATTACAGTCAAAATTCAGGACAAAAATCAGGGACCCTGTCTGTGGGAAAGTTACCTGATTCCGAAGATAAAATTTCTACTGGGACACATGGTTGGTTCAATCAGTAGAGCATGGGACTCTTGGACCT